CTGTATACAGTGTTATTTTAGATGTAATCCTGTATACAGTGTTATTTTAGATGTAATCCTGTATACAGTGTTATTTTAGATGTAATCCTGTATACAGTGTTATTTTAGATGTAATCCTGTATACAGTGTTATTTTAGATGTAATCCTGTATACAGTGTTATTTTAGATGTAATCCTGTATACAGTGTTATTTTAGATGTAATCCTGTATACAGTGTTATTTTAGATGTAATCCTGTATACAGTGTTATTTTAGATGTAAGCCTGTGTACAGTGTTATTTTAGATGTAATCCTGTATACAGTGTTATTTTAGATGTAATCCTGTATACAGTGTTATTTTAAATGTAATCCTGTATACAGTGATTATTTAGATGTAATCCTGTATACAGTGTTATTTTAGATGTAATCCTGTATACAGTGTTATTTTAGATGTGATTATTTAGATGTATTCCTGTATACAGTGTTATTTTAGATGTAATCCTGTATACAGTGTTATTTTATATGTAATCCTGTATACAGTGTTATTTTAGATGTAATCCTGTATACAGTGTTATTTTAGATGTAATCCTGTATACAGTGTTATTTTAGATGTAATCCTGTATACAGTGTTATTTTAGATGTAATCCTGTATACAGTGTTATTTTAGATCCTGTATACAGTGTTATTTTAGATGTAATCCTGTATACAGTGTTATTTTAGATGTAATCCTGTATACAGTGTTATTTTAGATAATCCTGTATACAGTGTTATTTTAGATGTAAGCCTGTATACAGTGTTATTTTAGATGTAATCCTGTATACAGTGTTATTTTAGATGTAATCCTGTATACAGTGTTATTTTAGATGTAATACTGTGTACAGTGTTATTTTAGATGTAATCCTGTATACAGTGTTATTTTAGATGTAATCCTGTATACAGTGTTATTTTAGATGTAATCCTGTATACAGTGTTATTTTAGATGTAATCCTGTATACAGTGTTATTTTAGATGTAATCCTGTATACAGTGTTATTTTAGATGTAATCCTGTATACAGTGTTATTTTAGATGTAATCCTGTATACAGTGTTATATCCTGTATACAGTGTTATTTTAGATCTAATCCTGTATACAGTGTTATTTTAGATGTAATCCTGTATACAGTGTTATTTTAGATGTAATCCTGTATACAGTGTTATTTTAGATGTAATCCTGTATACAGTGTTATTTTAGATGTAATCCTGTATACAATGCCTATATACAGTGTTATTTTAGATGTAATCGTGTATACAGTGTTATTTTAGATGTAATCCTGTATACAGTGTTATTTTAGATGTAATCCTGTATACAGTGTTATTTTTTAGATGTTATTTTAGATGTAAGCCTGTATACAGTGTTATTTTAGATGTAATCCTGTATACAATGCCTATATACAGTGTTATTTTAGATGTAATCCTGTATACAGTGTTATTTTAGATGTAATCCTGTATACAGTGTTATTTTAGATGTAATCCTGTATACAGTGTTATTTTAGATGTAATCCTGTATACAGTGTTATTTTAGATGTAATCCTGTATACAGTGTTATTTTAGATATAATCCTGTATACAGTGTTATTTTAGATGTAATCCTGTATACAGTGTTATTTTAGATATAATCCTGTATATAGTGTTATTTTAGATATAATCCTGTATACAGTGTTATTTTAGATGTACGCCTGTATACAGTGATTATTTAGATGTATTCCTGTATACAGTGTTATTTTAGATGTAATCCTGTATACAGTGTTATTTTAGATGTAATCCTGTATACAGTGTTATTTTAGATCTAAGCCTATGTACAGTGTTATTTTAGATGTAAGCCTGTATACAGTGTTATTTTAGATGTAATCGTGTATACATTGTTATTTTAGATGTAAGCCTGTATACAGTGTTATTTTAGATGTAATCCTGTATACAGTGTTATTTTAGATGTAATCCTGTATACAGTGTTATTTTAGATGTAATCCTGTATACAGTGTTATTTTAGATGTAAGCCTGTATACAGTGTTATTTTAGATGTAATCCTGTATACAGTGTTATTTTAGATGTAAGCCTGTATACAGTGTTATTTTAGATGTAATCCTGTATACAGTGTTATTTCAGATGTAATACTGTATACAGTGTTATTTTAGATGTAATCCTGTATACATTGTTATTTTAAATGTAAGCCTGTATACAGTGTTATTTTAGATGTAATCCTGTATATAGTGATATTTTAGATGTGTTATTCCAATTTTTCTTTTTTTCTTTTTTTTAGATATAACTCCTATTTCGTTTACAAAGTTATTTCAGATGGAATCAGGTGTCCATTTTTTGTTTGAAAGATTACATTTTACATACACAGATTTTTTTGTTTACATACAACTTACAGTTTTGTATTAGATCGGTTGGTGTAAAGAGTTATGATTAATTTATTGTTGTATTCAGGGGTGTTTCAAATGCAAATACCATATAATTGTAATTGGTAAATATCCAATTAAATAGTATTTTAAACAAAACCGGTAATTCGACAAGCTAGATTTCTTCTAAACGTATTGAATGAGTCAATATACTACAATTTGTTTTTGTAGTAGTAAACCTTTGCCACTGCCAGTAAATTGCTTGTTAGTTTTAATAAGCCGTTAATATAACAAAAAATGATAAACAGCCTTTGTTTTAATAAAAACTCTTTCACTCTATTCTATATAAATACTGATATACTCGATCATATCTTCCACAGTTGTTTCAGAAATGCAAGTATTTTATCCATCATAAGTGACATTACTATAAGATAATCAGACAGATTGTTTTTCGATCTAACAAACCCATTGTGTGTATTTCACCAACACACGTGTCCCTAACGCTCCAACACAGGTGAACACACAAAAATATAAAACAAAACATATATTAAATACAAATATGTCTATGTAAACATGTAATGATAATAAAATAACCACTGTTTTGGCATTTGACCTTAACAGATTGGCTTTTGCTATTCATGAGAATGCACCTGATGAAGTATGGGGGACATCTGGCAATTTAACCTTACATATTACATTTATTTACAATGACCTCAATTCGTAAACACGGTAAGCAAATATTTCATGACTATGTTTGTAAAAGGTATAACTTTAATGAATCAAATTTATATACTGTTTTCCAGTTTTCCATGAGAGAATAAAAATTCTGAAAACTCCTTTTCGTGGTCTGACGAAAGATTTCCATTTTGTGTCGAAATACGCATAGCTTTATGAAATGTTCATGCCTTCAGTAGTACTTCAATAAGCCATATTTTTTTAGTCTTTAGCCACCAGTTGACAAAGCAAACCCTTCTCACCTTATAAGTTACTCGCAATATATTTTTTTTATATTTTGTTCAGAAACAAAAGCTAATTTGGGGAAAGTGTAGACAAACAAGTGTCATCATTATTTCTGAATGACAGTCAAAGTCATGACCTTTCTCGTAGTTTCTGACGACCGCCAACACAGTGTATAAAATATGAATGCCGACCTTTGAAGAATGGTAGATACAATAACAGGCATTTGATGAAAACTGTTAAACGCTTTCTTTATAATTATCCAAGTGGTTGTATGCATGCTTCTAGGTAAAATCGATATATGGTTTAGAGAAAGGGTAATCAACATAGTTTCTAAAAATTCTTTTTCTTTCTTTTCCATCTAATATATTCGTTCAAAGGCTTTTAAAATCTGTGTGTATCACGTTCAATCCACATTGTCAAAAAATCTTCTTGAAGATCGAATCCGAAAAAGAAAAAAGAAAAGAACAAAGACACTTTTACTGTTATTTGACTGGTTAACAGTTTTTACACACCTTGTTTACTTTAAGTGACAGTCATGTGTTCTAGTGACATTTAACAGCACGCAATTAAAACTAGGTGAGAGATAAAAATCATATTTGGTAACTTGGTTTGGTTGTTGATATGTACAATAAACGGATCACCGACTGAGATATTTTTCTCTTGAAATCGTGATATATATATACTGGTCAAACATACAAAGGGTCATCAGACGATTAATTTTGGTGTACCACTTACTAATCTTTGCGTTTACCATTGGTCGCATGTCAACGCAGTTAAAAGTGATTGCGTTTACTGTAACACTGTATATTTGGTAATCAGTTACTTAGCATAGTAGATGGATACTCTGAGCTATCTATTTAAAATGCTATCGTTCCGACATGCTGCTAAACTGCATTTGAAAAGATTATGTATAAAAGCTCATTGTTAGGGACACATACTGTTTCAAACTACATATTAGTGTATGATAGAAACGTTTCTCTCTTTTCTGCGGTTGGAACTAAGGTTGTTTTCGCAAACAAATTTGTTTGTGTTTGCTTATTTTCCAATCCTCATCTCTGTTTGTATCTAAAATCTTCTACAGGGGATGGGGTCTTTTTGAGAAGATCATTAAATTATTTTTACAAAATACTTGTACATCCTGGTTTCATCTGTAAACATAAATTTATTTAAATGATATACTACATACAAAATGGCGAAAAGATTTCACCAAACAGCTGTTTATTTCCCATTGGAAAGGTTTCTTTATAACTGAAATTCAATGCGTATTTTCTTACCCTTTCCATTACTAGATAAGTCTATTTATAAACATCAATATACCGTTACACTGATATGTTTCTTCATTTTGTTCAGCATTCAGCATTAAATCGAGTCACTGAGAAGGAAATAAAATTCATTGAATAATATCACTAATGTTGTTGTTATGTATATATTTATTTATTTATTTATTTATTTGTATGCACATTTCAAATAAATGGTGGGATTCAATAGACAAATTTAGAAATGCAGTATAATTGTTTATTGAAGTCGGTATGAAAACGTAAATCCTGTTGATATAGCTATAGTTGTTGACCTTTCCATTGTGTTTCCATTTAACCTTTCTGGAGAGTGACAAGTCACACCATTCCATCCCATAAAAGGCGGTCGGTTCCCGAACCAGGAATCAGTTGTGTGTACAGGTACAGAAAATATGGCATCTCTGCGAGAACTTTTAAAGAAAGTTTATTTCATCGTTATTATTCACAATAAATTCGTTTCCTGCATTCCGATCTTTAGTGAAAATGTATCTGAGGACCCGTACGCTATCCAGCAGAGTCTTGGAATTGATATTTCAGCGACTTCGACTCATTTTGATCGTCCGTTCACGCAGTATGAATCGGATGTGTATGAAGTAATGAGAAGTCAAGATTCTGATCCTGCACGAATGACCGCGGATGACACCTTTAATCAAGAATCCGCTCGGGAAGCCATCCGTTTTCTAAGGCCGCAGTTTGGTAAGTCACTTGTAAATATAAACAAACATATTAATATACATGAAAATATGTCGAAGAAGGACGAAACAGCTGTATGATGCAATCAAATTCACTATTTGGTTTTACTCTGTTTATCAATATTAAACTGACGGTGCTATTGACTTGGATGTAATTTTAACCAAAAAAATGTCAAAAGAAAATTCATAATCCATATAATTACATAAATGATATACTGCATATACTTTTCAGCTGTTTTCGTCTATAACAAAAGCTGAGAACTGAGAAAATATAAAAAATATTTTCAGCTACTCCTAGTAGGTAGTCCTATTCGGAAAATATTGGGAACAAATGTGATTTTCTATGCTATTGCCTGTATTGTCATATTGCGAATGGGAATGAAATATATTTTATGTCATGTCATTTCTTAAATTCTCGGTTATTATCCATGGATGTTAAAGAAATTACCGTAGATGATTTATTTGAAACACTTAACATGTGAGGATGTAGCTATACCTCATTCAGAGAAAGAGTGGACTGAGATTTTGGTCCCAGATTTTATTATTTTACTTCTTCTTTATCAGTAGATTTTTAACCTTAACCATCTTATGAACAATTGACGAACATAGTTAACATGCTAGTGTAAGATATTATTTCTAATGTAAAACAATGGTATTAAGATTCGTTCTTCATGGTTTCAGGTTGTTTTAAGTACGTAAAATTATATAGCTAATGATAAAGCATTTCGTTGATGCAACTAGCTTTTTCCCTAGAGAATGAATAGTTCAAAGAAAAAAAAAACATCGTTCTGATGCAGTTGTATTAATTATTAAGCAGTAATTTTTAATCATAAATACTAAGTTCTTATGTTTGTTATTTAAATTATATATGTTAAGAGATTGTGGTACCATTCCAAACAGTACAAATGGTTACGTGTAGCAATTTAACAATTTAGCAGACCATAACGAAACAGAAAAGCATAAACATCAATGCCAAAAGCACATACCTCGTCATGCTTGGTCAACTGTAGACCAACCTTAATTCTGATTGACTACGCCAAAAACCAACTTTACGTGATCAGAAAGTTTTGAAGCATTGTAAACAAGAGTTGTTTGAAGACAGCCTTACCCGAATGTATACGATATTAAAAGAAGCTTGATTTCTCGCAGAACATTATTGTTCATTTATAGGTTGTCTGAAACGTTCTGTTTTACTTTGTTACACGTGAGTTTAACTGAAATATCGGTGACCTGGAGATAAGTAGGTAATAAAAACGTAACATATATAAATGTCAGCAGACATGATGATATACCATATTTAGACCATTGTTCTAATTATGTTTCCCTAAAAAAGGGTTTAATATTACACAGTTGTTGTACTGGAGCACAAAAATAAAGGATGTCTGTAAATATGTTGTTAACCTTGTCTCATTTTGAAACATGGTGTCACTAACTGATTACATGATTCATATGGCGGATGGCGTCAGTGAATCAGAAGACGCTAACTCTTCAAGGCCACTTGGTCTTTTTTTCTTGGTATGTTTTCAAGTTTTCCATGTAAATTTCTCTTGAGTTCATATCTTGCCCTAGTTTCACTAAATCTGAGTTCTAATTGATTCTGTTGACATGTTGGTATTATGTTATCATGAACCAGGTTTGAACTGGTACAGTGATCATAACCACATTTTACGTTTAATCAGACACTTGTTTGGTATTATTCGTTAATATGCAGTAACTAAGTGAGGATTACAAATACAAACTGATGCCTGGTAAAGTATCGCACCGAAATATAAATCTATCAGTAATTGCACAAAGTGTTTTATTCAGTAGGGCCGAATAATGAGGTAAACTTCGTCATACAGTTGTATCGAATGTGATGCTTAGGACCCAAATTTTAAAACCTTAGAGGTGACTGGGGAGACAAACACTTACCGTACGAAATGTCAAATTATCGATGGAAAGGTGTTCTAGTCCCATTACGACATAAATTTCGTAATTTCTATTTTCGGATAAGTTCAAAAGAACATCCAATACATGTGTACACAATGGGTCGCGATAATCAGGACGCCGATAGTAAGGAAAACTCAAACATAATGGAATGGTTAGGGAACGGATTTCCGTAACGTTAATTGTTTTCATTAGTTCTAAAATTCGTATTGCTGTTCGCTTTACTTAGTAATATTCCCGCATTAGTCCAGCGACTGAAGGAATATTACGTGACCTAGCAAGACGAAACAGCTGTATGATTGTTCGCCTCTGCTGCATATAATTCTAAAGTGCATTAAAATGTGCTACCCGATTTCGTGTCTTTTGTACAATATTTACATGATGACTAACCCCTTTCTCGTACTGTTCATTCACAGGAAACTTCGGAAGGCGTTTGTACTTCAACCTATCTTCAATTCCTACAAAAGTTAACATCACCTATGCAGAGGTGGTTTTCACTTCTCCCCATTCATCTGCACAGATTGTCGGGATAACGGTACAGAACCATGGCTCTTTAACAGGTAATGAATAACTGTCAGATATAGAGTTAAACGTACATCAACAAATAAATACTTGTAGCTTTTTAAAAACAGTACATGTTTTTCAATCATAGTTAATGTAACTATCAAGTTTTACTACATTAAACCGATTAAAGATAAACGAAAAAAACAGTTAATTTACATCAAAGAGGAGATAATAATAGCGCTTCAATATTATTAATTGAAAAATATTTATCAACGAAAGCGGTTGCTATCGATAACGTATAATGATTTATTTAAGTTTTAACCATGTTATTTTTATAACACAAGACAGCAACATGCCTTAGGAATGTAAATACATGTATTTACATTGAACTGTCTTATTGTGGCATTTCTGGTCGTTATAAATTCCATTTCACGACAGCTCAATGTTTAATAAACATCGTTGAAATGAAAGTAATTGATGTCCTGTGGAAATGTTTAAATGGCATTTACTGATGAATTACTGATGTAAACAGTGATTTAAGTTATCACTCAACATTTCAACCGAGAACAAAAGCCAAATCAGATCCCTAAACAAACGAAAACCTTTCAAGGCGTATAACTTCATATAAACTTGTATATAATTTACAGATGTACTTTTTATTCTAATTGCAATATAAGGTGCAATTTAGTTGTCGTGCCATAAATTCATTTACTTCATTTGTTTTTCAAGGTCATTTGCATTAGAACTCAATTGCAGAGTCGTGATCGTAGAAGGCGACTTTAAGAAATTACCAAAAATAGTAATTATTTTCATTTAACAATACGGTCCAAAAACACTATTCTAGCACAAGCATTTCTATCCCGTAAACTACAATGTAAACAAAGAGTAAAGCTATGAAATTATTTTTTTTTCATTTACAGTGTTACATGGTAACCCCACGTCCTCGGGATATAAGATTGACGTCAGTGATATACTCCACAATGAAACGATAAATACTCAATCAGATTTGGTGGTAAACGTACAACTCCAACATCAACAGGACTCCTACTTCCGGTTTCATGATCGTAGGGTCCAACGTCTCCAGCCAGTGCTTGCGGTATTTGAAAATATTGATTCAGAGCCATTCATGAGAACAAACAATAATTCACGTGCTCGAAGATCAAGCGAAACTGACATAAACCGTAGCTCAGATACACCCACGCAATCTGGACCCTGCCACCTTCAACCCTGGATTATCAATTTCTCTGGGATTGGATTAAAAAGTGTCTTGTACCCTGTCACCTACGAAGCAAACATCTGCATTGGCAGCTGTGATTCCATGAGGAATTATGCTACTGATACAAATTTCACACATCATGCATACTTCAAGAATTTGTACCATTTCGTGACGAATTACACAATGACAGATTCCGTGCCGAGCACCTGTTGTGTTCCTATTACATACAGACCTCTCAGTGTAATCTATAGGGAAAGCATGGGCGATACATACGTCATGGAACGGTTAGACAATATGCAGGTGACGTCATGTGGTTGCCGGTGACAATGTTTTACATGGTGATTTTGACACTGAGTTTGACACTGACAGATTTATATATCGAAGACTTCTAAATCTTGTTAGCAAAACAAGAATTCATAATGTTCTAATCATCCGATACTGGTAGAAAAAGACAAATATCCCAGTTCAAATCATTCACAAGTCGAATATACTTTGATAACGTTACTACTTACAGTCTTAAATGTAGCATGTGACGGTCTCTGAATAATATAAAAAAAATATTAAAGAAAACGTTAACCCAACTTCACATTGGTAAGAAAATTACCTTGCTTAATCATAAAGCTTTTCATACGTATAATGCACATCTTATTTTTCCTTGAAATAGATTGTTCCTCCTTTATCTAAACACACAGTACAGCGTGGGTTTTTTTTTAAAGAGAAAGCTTTTTTATACTAGCACATATAATCAGGAACTACAGTATACATGCTTGCACACCTTTTGAAAACAGTATCAGATTTTGTTTAGGAAAGATAAAAACAGTACACAATTGGTATATTTCAGTCTCGTTAAAGTTGAATTGAGCATGTTTTTCCCTTCTTCGTGTTACTTGTATGGTCTGTAAATAGTGTAAGTTTATACCTTCATCACTTCATTGAAAGTTGTATATTGCTGAGGTAAAGGTTTTCGGATGATTTTGATGTGGATAAGATTATTTGTAGAAAGCAGCAAACTATTGTGGTATGTCATACTTAGTTCGAATGCATTTTCATGATGATCTGTATCAAAAAAATGAACATCCAATAGATTAGTTTATCCTGAAATATGTTATATAATCTTGTTCTATACCGTATATTGATCTCTAGTCTATCTGTAGTCTATTCATGATCTACCAAAGGATGATAACTATGCATGGTACTTGGAATGAGTGAATTAACGTGCGATGAAACAACGTATTATGTTGATTTATATCTGGCAGTGTCAAAAATCAAGATATGCGCTGTGCAGTCAAAAATGTTTGTCCGTCTTCATTTGTGTTTTGTCACAATAAATATTTGCTTGTAAAATTCGTTGACTAAATATTAAGGAGATGACTTGTAATGTTCGTTGAATATATATTAAGGAGATGACTTGTAATGTTCGTTGAATAAATATTAAGGAGATGGCTTGTAATGTTCGTTGAATAAATATTAAGGAGATGGCTTGTAATGTTCGTTGAATAAATATTAAGGAGATGGCTTGTAAGAAATGTGTTATATCATTCTTGCGTCGGCTATATGCCATTAATTAGTTTATTACTATTCAAAATATTGATATTTATGCAATTTCTAAACTACCATCCACCCGCTTAGAAAAATTATTAATGACAATTTTCTATAAGTCTCAATTCTTAGAGAAGACCTGCAAACATAAGGTCTTGCATGACGTATATTCAGGACCATCTGTCACCTACTTTTTTCCAGTCGATCTCAAAAAACTTAACGCATCCTAGTTGACTTTTAAAAAGTGGCGAGAACAGTCAACTGCCATAACCGTTTCCTGATCAGCCGCAAAACTGAACATGTGCAACTTACGATCGTGCGAACATATGAATGATGTGACAAAGAGCAAATTAGTAATACAAAGTACTCAAATATTGACGAAACAAGAATGAGATGATAGTAGACAAATAGGAATGGTTTCTATTGATAATCCAATTAGTGACCGAGGATTTTTCCACAGATGTTGAAAAACAAAAATCATTTTCTAAATGGTATCAAATGTGATCGTGCTGGCCTGATTGACCAACCTCCACTAATTGCGCGTATATGAAGAGGAGAAATTTATAACCGACTGTTTCATTAGCTTGATGTTTTCCTACTATTCCAATCCACATCGCCAACAACTTTCAGTTTGATTTAAAGAATCAATTTCTTCCAGAGGCGTAATTATGTTTGCTGTTTCAATGGATAAGCCTTTAGCAATTGAGGTTTTGTTACAATTGCACCTCCTTAAAATTGTTGTTCTCGAGAATAAGAATTTGTGAGCTGATATGAAGGACATTCCTGAACAGTACAAAACGTTATATAAATGTGATCAGAAGTCGTAAAAAATGCAAATCTCAACTTTTCTCGTAATAATATGATTAGATTGTCCTTTCTCAGGGACTTAAGAATTCTACGGTCATTCAATTGAATAAACTTAAAAAAAAAAAAAAAAAAAAAACTTTTTTCTAACTTTCTTTAACGAGCGGAAATTCTTTGCTTTTATTTGTCCCTAGGAAATAAGCATGGAGTTAAGGACAAAACTCAGCTGAAAGGCTATATTCTTTATAAAATGTCATGTCCAATAAAAATAACAAGTAAAGGAATGTTCCCTACACTACAGTGAGAAATCATCCAATTTAGCTCCACATTCTCCTGCCTCTTTACGAGTTAGAAGATAAGTAGAATCTTAATTCATCACTCATGCCTACTTAATAGATGATATGTATAATAATGTAACAAGGAAGCAGCATAAAATTTGTAATTTTTTTATTGTGTTGTGACGTAATGACTTGTATATTTGTAGAAAAAAAAAACAAAACAAAATCAACCAAACAAAACAGGATTGTGATAATTATAAACAATATATTTTGGTACAGACCATGAACATGTTTCTCTTGAATCCAAATTCTTTCAAATAAAATCGACATAAAAACAACTAACACATATCTCTTCTGTTCATGTTTGATGACTTCTGTAAACATAACTGTGGTCATACGCTGTGTTTATATACAGACTACATAAATCAGGAAAGTTAAAATCACAGAATACATAAATCAGGCAATTTATAATCAACAGAAAAATAAGGTATAACCAAATTCAATCTTAGAACTATATCCTAACCCTCAAAATGAGACTTATGATTATAAATATTTCAATGAAAGCATTTCAAGCGTGATTCAAACGATAAAAACTTCTTTTATCATCAAACTTATTTTATTTTTCTTTTACTGTTTACCAAGATCTTATTGCACAGAAAAGCATCACTACATCAATTTATGCTTAGTTATAAAGCAAACACTGCTGAATTTGATTATCATTCAAACTGTGGTGAAGAATAAGGTTCGACTATTTCTGTACTTTTTTTTACCCAAAATTCGTCCATTTGCGATGAATTATTGTTACTGAACAATCGAGGCATCATCATTATTTATTTGTAATATAGGAAAACTCAAGTTCAAAAACATTGTTGTTGAAATATAGACAACAAAAAGTAAGCTTGTTTTTGACTCGTTATAATGATGTTGAGAATAACTCAATATTCAATACTTAAAATCATGAAAGAAATGTCATGTACAGTTTCACTATGCAATCATAAGTTTCGACAAATGTTTGAATCCTCACCGAGTGCTGAAGCGAACACAGTACAACTGTTACCAACTAGTCAAGGTAATATATCTTTCTTAAATGCTTAGATTTCAAACAAAATTTTTTTTTAAGTTGAATGTATATCACTGGAAAGAATGGCCAATTTTTAATTAAATACATTTTAAACAATAACTGTGATAAGATATGACTCGTGGTCTGCTTTGCTTTGACTGGCTCGATATCAAGTAATAAAAAATTCAGGAAAAAGAAATAATGAAATAAAGGTAAAGCTTTTGATAATCACAACAACATATTTTGCATTTTTGTTAACATTCAATTTCAGTACCAAATTCACTTTAAATCAACAAACTAGACTTTTGTTTAAACTGTTCATTACTCAGACACCTTCAATAATTTTAAAGCTCAAGTTCAATGGATGTTAAGGACATTTTACAGCAAAGTTTAATGGATGTTAAGAACATTTTACAGCATATCCCTGTCCAATCATTTCCTCAAATATACACACACAGAGAAGAACGGCAAGAGGAAGGGGGTAAGAGACATATATTCCAATAAATAATAAAGTCATACACACATTGTAATATCTCAAACTGAATGTATTAAAAGAACGATGGAAGTCTGCACACCCATATTACCACCAGTATTTCTCACTTGAAAAATGGAATAATCCTTCAAGACAAAAAAACAACATGTAGTAAAGAATCGCTTTCAAATATGTATCAAACATTCACTTCAAGCAACCACGATCATTCATGCACCTCCACCTCAACTTGCTCATTTTTAAAAAGGCTTGTTTACTTAAAATTTACAAGTTTAAAATGTTAAACAATCTTAACCACAAGAAGGTTAGAATTATGTTTATATAACACTTATACAATTTCAATAATCAATTTTCCATACAATTTCCGTGTTTGATCATAGGAAAAATTATATAATAATCAAACCCCGTATAAAAAGTGACATCACAAAACAACTTAACATATTGACCTGATAGAAGTTCAAATATCAAAGGGTTCATTCTATTAACTAATGAACAACCCCTTCATCACATATCTTAAACAGCAAAGCAGGTTCATATTTACATGGATAGCTTGCATCAAGTCAGATGGTAATAAATAGAAAGAGACAAATTTTAAAAAGTATACATTTTAGAGTAGATAAAGTTCCTTCTCCACATCACACATTTGCTTATTTTTCATAAATTGTACATCTTTAGTTTACACAAACATTTTATCTAAAGCTCTCAATATAAAAAGCATATCAAATAACCATCAGAAAAAGAAGTTGACAAATATCAAATATGTCGTCTTTCAAGGAGATCATTAGCCTCTAAATTTCACTTTCTCATACACTAGAGGGTGACATTTGTATCAAATTTCCTTTGTTTTACGAATACCTGAGGTAGAGAGTCCCAGCAGTATATGTTAAATCTCTTATGAATTACTTTCTAAAAAATTTCTTATAGCTGTTGTTTGCCTTTTAACACCATCGAAAGATTTGTATTGTCTCAAAGTAATTTTCCTTTCCGCAATCAACTTCAGGAGCTTGATCATCTGATGTTTTTCAAAATGCAAAGAGATTATCATCAGTAATAAGTCAGGGTGCCGTCAAGTGAATATTTTTGCAACATTAATATTAATTAATAATTCAAAATGTTACAATTACATAATTAGGTCAATAGACCATTGCAAATTTTTTTATGAATACAAATCATAACAGAGTACGTTTACAATAGATTAAATGATGGGACTCTCTTCCCTCTATCAAAAAGTTTCATCAGAGTAAATCAATCATAATAAAAGCAGAAATAATAATGAACAGCATATGACTATGTACACTTCATAAAATTTTCGATCTTCCAGGGGTTATGATCACTTACTTCATTTAAAAGAGAATTGTATTGAACACCCTTGGTTTGCAAAGATCACTTTATAAATGCGTAGTGAGGTCAAATTTGAATGTTGTCAAATGAAACAATAAAACGAGAGGCCCATATGGCCTGTATCGCTCATCTGACTTGTTTGGCTAAAAATCGCATCATCCAAGCCAACAGAAAAGGAATTCTAATTTCTAAGCATACAACACACACTACATTGTGTACCTATTTCCTCATTAAGCCCCACCCCTCTGGCAATGGGTCAGCAAAATAATTCATGTTTCATATCAATTTGGGACAGAATCCTACCATTCCTAAAACAATTTTGAAGAATTTGCTCCATTTATACAAAACTGATTTCAATTAATCCAAGGATGCATCAGACCAAATTTAGGCAAAATTCAATCATTCCTGCAGAAGGATTTCAAAGAATTTGCTCCATTTTCTTAACATTTTTTTTTTTATCAAAATTGATTCCCCATCACCAAAGAATGGTTCAGGCCTACTGGTTATTTAAGCAAAATCCAAAAATTCCTAAAGGAAGAGTAGGATTTCACAGAATTTGCTCTATCATTCTTATTGAGCCCCAACCTTCCCGGATGGATGCTTCTGACCAAATTTGTTAAAAACTTGTTTAGTCGTTCATGACAAGAAGTAATTCTTAGACAGATGATGGACACTGGACACCGGACGGCGCCAATGGCATAAACTAACCTGTCCTTCTGACCAGGTGAGCTAAACACAGAGACAATGAATTTGTGAGCAAACTTTTTGAAAACTTAGCAACATAACTTTAGACAAGTATATTTACAAAAATATTGATAATAAATTAGAAAATATCTGTACAATACCAGCTCAATGCCCAGTAAAGATTACTATCAAATTTTTTTTAAACAGTTCTATAAATAGTAACAGTTTGATCCAAATACATGACTTGGCGAAGTAAGTGTTTGATAGGCAGATTTCTATAAGTAGCAAAGAATAAAAAACGTTTTTGTTTGCTGTTACAGCTTCAAAAAAAAATCATTGGCAGGTTACTAAGTACACAGGCAGGTAAAAGATTATTTTAAAGCCTTTTTACATGCCTTACGATGACCTTGACCTTGTTCTTTGAGGCACTTTCATATCTAACGTTTACAGTGTATAAAAAGCAATATCCACTATGATGATGAATTAGGATTGGATGTGCATAACAAAGGACAAGAAAGCCCTGATATATGTTAGCACCAATACAACACATGACAGAATTTAAACTGTGGTGATACTGTACAAAAAGGTATGGGACATTATGATATCACATCAACCAAACAAAATGAGACTATAAGTGAAAAAAAAAGACATTTATATTGATGACAGTTATATTGCGTAGTCAATTTATGAAGAATTTTCTTATAGAGATATTGGTTCCTGTACTAAACTGACAACAACTTGGAGTTACAACAGTGACAACAGTGTATATAATCAACACAATTTATCAAGAAAGATTACTCTTCAAAGTAAGCCATGTAGTACTGGGTTTAAAAGCATTTGAACTTTAATATGCATGTAGAGGATGCAGGTGCATTTGTAACCTTTCATTTGGGATAATTTGTATGAGACCTCCGAATAATGGTCTTAAAATGACTGTTACCTTTTGGCACAGCAATGACATAAATAATGCTGATCTGTACTTAGGTTTTATACAATGTATCATATCCATTCACTTGGAGACCTTGTCCCCATTATGGTTGTCAATGCATTTTATATCTACAATGAAGAGTTACAAATATGTCACTAAATCACACCTTTTCCTGACAAAGTCACTTTCAGATTTGTTCAGGGTAGACATGAAAATGCACACTGAAGTAATCAAAATCTTACTATATCAAAACGAACAAACCTCAGGCACTAGTCTTTCATTAAAACCATAATAAATTTAAAGTCTCTAACTTCATTGCCCCAACAAAATAACTTGGCCACAAGAAATCTGTGATTTTTACAGAACAGTGCAAGAGGTCTTCCTTGAAACAGCTTGGAGCTTACTACACTTTAGTATATATCATATATATATCATAATTATCAACTTTGGATAGACTTTTAACAACCTTTCAACCGCAATAAAATTTGGTCCATGCAAACAATTAGCACAACTTTTATATATGTATATGAGAAAGATATAGCTTTAAGAAATATTTATCGTTTGTTCCAACCTCCCTTAAAGTGTACCAGAGACTTGAAATTCAAACTCTAAGAACTAATCAGAATTTTAATGAGTACTGTAACAGTACAGTTCATCAATGGAAATACATCTTGGAGATAGAATGACAGTAATATCCAACAAGGAATACTTGTTTCATTAGTAGCCTGCACTGCTTTTGTCCTTGTATACTCACTTCGCATGGATTACTCATTTCACTAGTGGTCTGCTTTTGTCCTCATCCATGCACATCTTAGACTTATACTCGTTCACTTCTGCTAAATACTTAGACCAAGCGCTACCATCAGAGTCCTCACCCTGAAAAGAATCTAATCTTTTCACACAGCAACCAAAATTTCTTCTAAATCTTTTTAAAGTAATAAGTTAATCCTTGGGAAAGTATACAAACAGATATGTTTAAAACGCTACCATTTTTCTTTCTTATAAAAACTGTTCAATCTTCTACAGCAAGAAGAGCATGTCTTAAAACCTACAGGACAAAAAATGACACTCTGAAAATAAATCCATTTTTCATTTATTTCATTTATGTACAATAATGAAAATATCAAAAATTTACCTTCTTCAGTTATACTTACTGGTATAATAAATGTACATATCATGCATTGAAAATTACAATGCAAGGTTGACATGTGTACAAAGGTTAGCAATGTTACATATGTACAATAGTATGTTACAAACTTAAGTTCTTGAGAATATCCTCCATGATAATCTAAAACAATTACCACATTATAGAAGAATCCTTAAGTTAATTCTTATCTAATTTATTAATAACAATAGCAATACCTTGAATGGTTCATTATAGTCTATTAATATCAATACTACTGGTATACCTGATTTACTGACCCAAACAACCCCAAGACATGTAGGTGATGATACCTTAGATATGGTTAAGATGTTGTCAGCAGAAAAAAACCCTATGAGTAAAAAATTCTCATCTAATCAAAGAGGATCACCTCTAAATGATTGACTTCAAATAGAAGATGATAATATATAGAAAAGGAATAATGACAGAAACATTCACAGAAACAGAAAAAAACAGCTAATGTTGGCAGAAAAAAAAAGACCTTTCCTTTGATTAAATCAGAAAACAAACCAAAAACGAGTGTATCTCTAGCTACTTCACATAAAACCATAGTGAATATGGCAAAGTTGGAAGAATGTCCATTTATATCCAAAAGAAATTACAAAAGTACCAATGCAACCACTGAAACATGGATGGAAGGGGCTTTAGCTGGAATAACCTAAAGTACATCACCAATGTGTACATGGATAGATCTAGTATCTACAGTATACTTCCAACTGTTACTTTGTTGCAGATATTTTTGGGATACAAAACAGTATTATCAAGGGCAATTGAATAGGATATTGTGGAAGTAAAAAAAACAAACCTGGAATACATTATCTAATTTAACTCATGTCAAAATAACATGACAAAGACGTAGATTTGGTTATTCAGTTTATCACTAACAAGGTGCTATTTAATCAAAGAGACGAGTATAGAGACAGTGATGATACTAGTGAGCTGGCATCAATAATGCTGACAGTGATGATACCAAGCTGAGATAATAATTGATAGCTTACTGAGTGCTGACAATATCGTATAAAACTTATTTATAATATTTCATTTCAATAAACTTACTCAGCACTGTGAAAATGGACATTAACTGCGTAAGTTTCTTGAAACTTTGTAAGTCCAAGTGCCGTTACTCAAGAAAAAGTAAGTTGCCCCATACCATAAAGAACTTGATCTACAGCTCCTCATAATACAACTAGACATACCATGTTGGTGCATGCCAAATTTCTGATCAATACTTGCTCCATCCAGTTCTCAGATAAATATTAGAGGAAACTGATACTTTTTCGAAATGTTGTAAGTTTAGTGGCTCTAAATCTGATAAATATAAAAATGAAAGGAAATTAAAGAGAAACTTGACCTGGCTAATCTCATACAACAATATTACATGTTGAATTTCAGTTCAATATGTCAAACTAGCTGTTAGAAAATTAGCAAAAAATTATCATACATGTACCTTCACTTTTTCATAAGTTAAAGGGTTGTAACTATAGAAACAAAATGGCAAGAACCAAATAAGAACTTTATCTTTATCAGTCAATGAGTGGAAAAAATCATGACTGAATTACATTTCAAAGCGGAGCATAAAAAAGTACATGTTCAGTGTATGCTTTAGTTCACCCGAACATAACCATGTCAGATAAACATCATGTTTGGTGCTGGAATATGATAAGAAAAATAGGTCAGATGGTTTATTATCTTGGGAAGCTATTTTATATGCTGCTAACTGACTCTAACTACTTACTTTTTTCTCTGGTTTTGGTTTCTTGGCCACAATACCAGTTTTGAGTGCACGATTAGCGCCCTTCCTCTTCCCTACCTGACAACAGAAGTACTGACAAATTTAGACTAAAATTCTTTCATTAAACCATGTATGTTGTCTGCAGAAACATGTACAATGATTACAGGATTGAAGACACACGTACAGCATTGCACTGACAGTTTCTAACTATCTGGTAAATCATGTATACTGTAGCTAAACAGTTGGAATTAAGAATAAAGACTCCCCATGCCAATCTGACATTACACTTTTATTGACTTAATGACAAAGATGTTTTTTGTTTTTATGTATGCAGTTTAAAAAAGGAACGTATGCAGAAAAGTGATTTTTTTTTAGGTGCGGACAACATATCAATCCCCATTAAAAAAAATACCTACAAGTATTGTCAATGAGTAGGTGATGCAGACATTTTCTTCTCATTTCCTACTACTTTCGTACTCATACTGATCAATGAAAAACTATTTCAATTGATGTGAAAAAATATACAAGCCTGGTTAATAGATATCACCCAGCTCATTTGGTGTTACTTTCACATTACATAATGACACATAGTTCACATATATCAAGACCCAGAAATATCACTTTGGGCATCTTACCGTGTGACAAACAAATATGTATGTAGTCAGGGATGTATGTTAGAACACAATGCATATGGTCCTTAAATGAGTGAGATAACTATGCTTTTCCTCTTTAATTGTGGGTTGATTGTGATGGTTATGAAAATGTGTGGTTTACCATAGTATATGAGCTATTTTTATAATAATTATCCTTTTTCATTCTTATTGACAAAACGTCAGCACACTGTGGTTATAACAGTTTTCCATCGACAGCATCAAGAGGAAAATAAATTACATGAGAAAGTCTCATCTGACATTCCTTTTACCTGTCCAGATATATTAGTACAGAGAAAAGTATGTCAATGCCAACTAAAGAAGAGTTAGTTCCCTTCGATAAAAAATATTAATCAAGTGAGAGACATTAATGTCATCAACAGTACAGCTAAATTAGATGAGTAAAAGCATTAAAATGTTCTGTCACGCCCATTCCATCCTTACAGTAGGCAAAGCAACTGGCTTTTTTTCAGTAGCAGCTGTCGGGGTCGAGTCGGGACTCTCCTGATCAACGGAAGAGGAAGTCTCAGATTTTGTGGAATCTGTTTCATTGTTTGTTTGTGAAGTTAGTCGTTCTTTCTGCTCCATCTGTTTCTTAAACATTTCCAAGAAGCTTCCATCGTTTGAAAACTTATTTCCAGTAACATTTGTCGCCGGCGAAAATCCGGACCCTCTTCTTGCAGCCATGTTTCATAATTAATGTAACATGCGTTGTGATTGGTCAAATTACAAGATATCATAATCAACCAAAACTTTAAAATGAAAATCTAATAGCGATTTGTTGAATTAAATGTTTAAGTCTTTCTGATATCATTTTTTCCATTAAGATCATTATGCTACTTGAGATAGTGTACGATTATATGTAAGTAATATAATTGGAGCAACCAATATTATCGTACTGGTTTGTGGTACTTTTACTTTAGAACAGTAAGCCGGCCTTGGTGCTTAGTATCCTCTTCTCGCGGGCTTTCGGTCATTAGTTCAACTGTATACAGAACAAGTAAAGTGACTGTGCAAACAATATGCAAGCATTTGCACGTATTTTTCGAAATCTAAGGAATTCCCTTGTACTTTCAAAATCAAATTTTATTGGGGAAGATCACTTCGGAAACAAATACTACGAAAGAATTGCTGGTAAAGAAGCTTGTTTTTTTCTTTGCACATGAATAACAAAGTTCATCAGTTGTACATGTGTACTGTGGTTTGCTAATTCGAAGGTCCCAAGACCCGATAATCCGATGTCCCAATACTCCAAATACACGATATTCTGAAAGACTCTCTCACCAATCGATCTGAATTTTTCCTGACTGGAACACTTTAATGTAAACCTGGTAAAAAATAATAACAATATTACGCTCGGCTACAGAGAACTTGACGTTAGCTTGATTGGTTGAGCATTCTGGCATCAAATCCTAGCGAAGGCATCGAAATAAATATTGACCACTGTTACATTAATTTTGGGCTAATTTCATACAAACTTCCGTTATGTAAACGGATGTGGTACACATCTTCGATACTCCGGGAGTTGCGATCCCTTTCATTAATTTCACCTATATAACATGTGGCAGAATTGAAGGTTACATGTGCAACACCATGTGGACAAGACATCGTGTTGCACATGGAACCTTCCGTTGATGTACATCAAACGAATCGCAAGGTCGCATAACGGTATAATCTTGTTATTAAAAAAAAAAGCATATCAGCTTGTGATTAGTCAGCTATTTTTCTCTTAGAACCAATCAAATAACTTAACTTGTGCCTTCAATTTTCCCACGATATGTTCCAGGGGTGAAGAGAGCAAACGTAATCGTAATCCCTGGGAAATCTTCGTCTACAAACTCCATGACCATGAATTTTCAATTATTTAACAGGGCGTCATGGCGAAGATAAAACAAGAAATATTTGTAAAGGAAAAAAAATCAAAATGATACATTGTCATATTGTTTACAGCTAAGATTAATTTCATAATCATTTTTAGATGAGAAGAGACAGAAAAAAGGTTATCGGTATGTGAAATCTTATGATGGACAGCGTAAGGTGAACAGTGAGCTGGAAATTCCAACAGAATGGAATGGTAAGAACTCTTATCATACAGATATGCTCATTACTCAGTTGTCTTAGTCACTTTTGTGGGATTATGGATCATGGGCATTCAAGTTAGTTCTAATTATATATATAAATTAACAAAGAATATTGGTACTCTTTCAAGGATATAGCCTTACGTCAGTTATCAAATATATTTTAACATTTGACACAATTTTTTTTATTTGAAAGCATCTAGCTACATTGTATCTTGCAGAGTGATATAAAGCAAATAATTTGTAATACTGTATGAGGGACTGATTTACTAGTCAGTGGTCTGTCCATCTTAAATATCTCTGGGATCACATCTTGACATAACCTTGACTTTTGCTGTTTGCTGGATCCCTCTCCCTGAATCACCCAGTGAACAGTTATATTAGCCAGGATAGTTTTTGGGTCAGTCTTTTTGTAATGACTTGATAAGATGGTGGCAAAACAAAACATAGGATGCCAACCACGTGCAGTCCGGTGCAATTAGAGCAGTGTCTTGCCTAAACACACAACCACAACAGCACAAGAAGAATATGACCTCAGCTTCTACGTTCTTATAAACATGTGCAAAATATGATATTGTGTACTTATGAAAATGGACATCCAGCATCCAGTCAACTAATAAACTTTGCTGATTTAGTGCAAGTAATCTTTATTAAAAATATGCTTAAGTTTTAGAACTCAACATATGTATATTCAAAATCACATTGAAATTTTTCAGGATGTGCTTTTAAAAGAAATTCTCAATTCTTTTCTTGAAAACCCAGAAATTTTTTAAAATCTAATACATGACAAAACTTTATCCAGTCGAAGTGTATGCTATGGAAGAATCATATAACTTACCAATACCTGTAAATATGCTTTTATTTCAGCATGGCTACGAAACAGCAGGAATAACCCTCCAACTATTGAGGTACAGTAACCTGTTGTACTTCAAGCATTTAGGATTCATATGTAATTAGCAATATTGATTTTATTGTTTAGCATGTTTAACTAAATTCTATATTCGGTATAAACTATAATAAGTATAGAAGATTTATTTATTCTTATTTTTTATATAGTAGATATAATTTGATACACATTAAATATACTCAAAGCAGATTATTTAGTATAAATTTAGCTGCTTTGTTTGTGCCCTTTGGATTTTGGGACTGATCAGAAAAACAAACTGACTGACACCCAGCAATCTTGCATTTAACAATGAAAGTGTGTTATTTCAATTTCTTGCGATATACTGGATAGATCTTTCACAAATTTTATATGCAGCTTCCCCCTTATTCCCTTGTGCCTTATTTATTTTGGTCCTATTGAGGAAAACGCGGTAGCTTTCTTGGATTGGTAATCTGAAATGTTGCAGTCACTATTTAATGAGAGGAACCGGATGCATCCTACTCAATCACATTGGGAGTTTGGGATTGATTTGTCTTTGTCTTGAAATATAGTAATGTAGGGGGTTTTCTCAAATTGCATACATAGATTACCCTTACTTCCTAGTTGTGCCCTTTTGATTTTGGGATTGACCAGAAAAACAAAATGACGAACAGGTGACCATCTTGGATTTGACAGTTACAGATTGGTTTTTACTATTTCCTGAGTGGAATTTTCAACTTTCATATAAGAGCAAGAGTAGAGGAAAAAAGAGAAAAGAACAGAAAAGATCCAACCTTTAAGAAAACAGATATTATGCAACAAGATCTGTCTTGGATCTGTTGTTTTTGTCATGATCATTTCATTGCAGTGGTATAAAAGTGTGAAGAAAAAAAGGTGATGTACATATATCTAAATCACTTAAAAAGTAGGAGCTAATATATTTGTTGTATGTCTATGTAAACAAACTTTATTCTTTTTTAATGAAGGAAATTGAAAGAAATAATCTGTTGATGATGAGAACACGACAGAGAGCGCTAGAAGTTGATGCTGTTGATGATAAGGTAATGTTAATTACTTGGATAATAAATTTTCAAATTACATTATTTACATTATTCCTGCTAGTATGTTCTTTCCCCGTTGAATTAGTGTTAACATTAATTGTATTCACTGGAATGTATATATATATAAATTACAAACAGTAATACGACATCATTTGAGTATCATATTCACTTACATTTTGTCAACATTCTGCATGTTTTAGTGGGGGTTTTTATTTTTAAAAAATGAGCACATGAATTTTTTTACCGATCATTTGTTTTGGGATCTTACTTGACATTCCATTCATATGAGAATTATTAAAGGAGCAACAGAATTTTCATTTTACTGACATGAAAATAAAAATTTGTGATGAGTTTCATAATGTAAATCTTGTATAAAACTGAAATGAAAGTAAGATTCTGTTGATCACATAACATAGATACTTTTGCAAATATTGGAGAAAAAAGCACTTTATTTGACACGAAAAATTTAAGTTGTAGATTTTTCATTCTCTTTTCCTTTCTTCGGTGACACCAAATACATCATGAAGATGTGATATCACAATAGAAACAATGGGAACCTTTAGGCAATCACAGTTCTGCTAGGTCATATTACAAGTGTTGTAACAAAAATGTATGTGATGGGTTTTATAACACTGATTAACAGGATAGTTATGTGATATAGAATTGTAAATAACCAGATTTGCTCAGTATCATGTCATTATTGAAATGTCCTGATTTTGTCTTCTGATTTGTATTATCTCTGATTTCAGGAAAAATCATCTCTAGTAGCGAATAGTGAAATGACTACGAACCTTGACTCTTCAAAATTAAACGAGAAACGTAAGTTTAAATCTGTGTCATAAATCACTGTTTATTTTGACAAGAAAATAAGATAAGGAAGAGAGCCACAAATAATAGGACCTGAGAGAGGGTTATTGTAACTGAGGTCACAAACCTGTCACACTATTGTTGGACTGATGGGTTTTTTTCTACACAATAATTTGAGTTTTACCTTGTTAAAACTGCCCTGTGATTTACTAATGCTGAGCTTTATGCACTACATCATTTTATTTTGAAATTTGATTGTGGATCCTTTTCAGCTGAATGTTATTCTTGCTACCTATATATAAATAACAATTTGATTAGTCTTTGGCTTTGCATTGCACATAAACTTTGCTTAAAATTTCTATTAAAGTAGCACTAGTTTCTACACAATAATGTAATGGTAAAGAACAAAACAATTTAAACAGCATTAACACACATTATACACTGTTTGATATAAACATTTTAATTCTTTATAGGAACAGTCAATCAATATCGTTCTGCGAATATTCTCACTCGTATCTTTGTTCTTCGATAGATATATCACAATAATATAAACCCAACAAAACAGGTAAAAACAGTCTATAATATTTTATTACACTAAAAATCACAAGCCAATAATAATGAGTTTTTTATCAATGAGAACTGTGATGCCTTGGGAATCAAATATGTACATTTTCCTTATGGTAGCTTCTGGCATTTAATTGCAAAATTATGTTATACTTGACAGGGGTAATAGCATGGAAATTAGGTTCCACCAAAAGTTAATAGGCAAGAATTTCCTCCATTTGTTTCCACTACAGCTATGCAGTGTAGCCTCCTGCTTCTGATCAGATTTCTGACACTAATGTTAATCCTTTGTCATTCCTGATAAAGAGCATGTGAGAGTTCTGCAATAGAATTAACATTGTGACACTGGTGTACAAGATGTCCAAGGACATCCACATGTTCAGTTTGGGATAAGTCTGATGATCTTACAGAACACACAAGTGTATGGACATTATTTCAGGCAAAAATTAGTTTGTGTGAGGCATGGTGTATGGATGAGTGTTATTCTGCTGGAGTAATGTGGCAATTCATTAACTTATAAACGGTACAACTACCATTTCATCACAGTACTGCTGTGCATTCCTTGGACTGTCACTAAATCAGTCTTTCCTCTCCAGCTGATGCCTCCTCACACTTTCACAATACCACTGCCATACCGATAATGTTAACAGCATCATATCACTTATGATACCCGTCTCTTCCATCAGCCTATAAGACATAAAACACAACCTGGCAGTAAAAACTTCTATGTTCCAATGGCATTGAATCCACCGATGATGTGTTGCAGCCTACTTGAGGCAGTTTGACTGATGACGTCATGTCAATGAAACAACAGTTACTGAATGCTACCATGTAAACTCATAGCGAGAAGACAATTCTGCACCATTTAACAAGAAACATGAAGCCTTGTAGCTCTGTGAAGTTCATCAGAAATTTTTGGTGCAGAAAGGAAATGTTGATCTCTTGACTTTTTACAATAAAACAGTCCTTTCATATGGTCATTTTTCTAGGTCACCCAGATCGAGGACAGTCAGAAACAAATTCTGTCATCTGATAACAGGTCCTGAGTTAGGTCTTTGTTGAAGGGTGAACATGGTAGTGAAAAGCAACATCTCTTATTCACCTCCCAACATATATCATTCCTTTTGCCATATGACGTAGGTTTTCTGACAAGCTTGTACATCAACCAATACAATGTTTGGTTGAACATAAAGTACTACGCGGCAAAATTGACAGAGTGCATATAAGTATGATCCTGGTGTTATCAAACTTGTCAATTTGAAATAGACTATCACTGTAACACACAAATCTTACAACAAAAATATATCTGATGTAATAAAAATTGAGTACAAAAAAATCAATATCTGGTTAAAAGCCCATCCCTCTGAATTTGAGTCAGAATTTAGGAAATATATTTGCAATAAGGCTTATTGCAGGGTATATAATTATATATTACAGTGTAGTTTACCACATAACTGCCCCAAAAGACTGCCCATTTTAGAAATTTTGTGACCACATGTTATATGACCTAGCAGAGCTGCAATTGGACTGACCAAGGTTCCCATGGTTTCTATTGCAATGTCACAACTTCATGGCATCTTTTGCATTTTGATGTCAGCAAAGAAAGAGAAATAAAAAGTCAGATTTTTTTATCAGTCAAGAAAAATTTTCATAAATGTTGCAAAAGTATCCAATTCATGGGATCATAATATCTTGCATTTGTTTCCATTTCCTTCGCAATGTATGCATATAAGATTCTGAACAAGCATTTCTTTTTCTTTTTTTTCAGAAGCACATCCTGATTTTGAGGACATGGAAATAAAATCTGGAATTCCAAGAAAGTTTGACTATAAAGATAAGGAAAAACCTATAGACAGAACAGTTTCCTGACATACACTGTAATGTTCTTATTACATACATAGGATAGTTCATAAAATGAATACAAGCTGAAATTCTGAAGAATGGGGAGTGCCAAAGCTATGAATACTGATGTCCTGAAAAAATTCTGTTATTTAGGACTGTAGTTTGGTAGACATGAAAATATTTAAATACAACAATTTACAGTCTTTTACCGAAGCAAATATGGTGTTTGGTGTGTAATGGAAGATATTTAATACTGTTGTGCAGGTTTAAAAAAAAATATTGGACATCATCTATTTTACTGTTAACCTTTGATAACTTTTCACGTAGGACATCTTTGAAATTCTTAAGGAGCATTTGCTTGTATAGATGTTTGTGATATTGTGATTGTAGCAGATCATTTTGATGCCAAATGGATTATCTCTGAAAGCTACAAGTGATAAACTGTTTTTTATGACTATTTATAATAAACTTGGTATATGCAATATATGACATCATAGATATTGTATTCTTTTTTGTTTGTAATTTCTGATAATACATTTTGCAGTTTCATAAATGCAATTGATAACTATCATACAGTCGTTCTCAGATTTTCATAATAAATTTATAATACAAACCCTGTTTATTTGTATTACAAATTACGTTTAACTACACATACAAAGTGGCAGTAGCACAGTAGAACTACTCCAGATAGGTTGATTAAATGGCGGTCAACTGATCATGATATTCATTGATAATGCATTATATGTATTCAAGTAGCACATAATGAGCTAAAATTATCATCTTGAGAACAGTTTTGTTCATCATACCTCTTGAGTTCAGCTGGTTTTGAAAAACTAGTCAACTTTTATTCTAGGATTAACTTTCTTTTCTGATAATGTACTTATCTTAAGTCAATGTGACCTTAAGATCAAATAAGTGCAAAAGTTTTAGTACAAGTTCCTACCTATACCTTTTGAAACAGTTTGAAATTGTGCCTAAACTTAAAACCTTGTTATTGGTTACTGACCTTCAGCTGAAAGCTGTTGTGTTTAAGTACCTAGGTACATATTACTAATCCTTGTCAGCACTCTAGCAGCTTCATTCCTTAAGGGACTTTTATCAAACTTCACACACTCATTAAGAACTTTAATATCTTGGATGTTTTTGAACTTTCAGGTATTGGGTCATTGTCATTATATTGGAAAATCTTTATCAGCGCTTTCAGCTTCATTTCTTGTCGGCTTCATTTCTTGAGGGCTTTTTTTTTTTGTTAAACTCTACACAATTATAAAAGTCAAGCTGAAGGTCACTGTTGCTATTTTTATATAATTGGTCCTCTTCTTTATTGTGTCAAGTCAAGAAAGAAATGAAAGTGAATTTGTTTTGTTTGCGATGCTTTTGATAGATACCTTGACTTTATTAGTCCCCTTAGGGAAATGCGGAGGACTATGACACGTCTGTCAGTCCCTCCATCCTTCTGCTGTCCTTGCATTACCTTGTCTAAGCACTCTCTCCTTCACTACTTGCCACTGGAACTTCATACTTGGGAAATAGGTTAACTGTGGTGAGGTGGAATGTCAAGTACAAAAGATAGGTCACTCTGATATATTTTAAATCTTTGACCTACATCAAAGAACATATTTGTTTGGACTCTATCTCCTACAGTACTTGTCAATGGAACTTCATACTTTGTGTATTGGTTTATTTCAGAGAAGTAGTGGATAATGAATATAAAGCAAGGTCACTCTGACCTTTATTTTGACCACTGACCTACATTAAAGAAAAAGATTGTGAGGGCTCTAACTCAACCTCTACAGTATTTTTTACTGAAACTTTTGTATGAGTTCACGTTAGTGAGACAGTGTGTCATGTATCATTAGTAGTCAATCTGACCTACACTTGACCTTTGACCTATAGCAAAGAAAAAAGTTTGCCTGTAATTTACTCCTACACTTCTTGTCACTTACTCTTAATACTTTATTTAATGAATGCACCTTATGAGGTGGTGTGTTAGTGGGGGACTGTCATTCACTGAATTGTTTGTTTTTTTAATTCATTATGACATTATATAGTTAAGATGAATGGAACCAAATGGCAATTCAATTACTTCTGTAGGTTTAAGGTCGCCAAATAAGAGGTTACAATACAAAGAAAATCAGATCCAACATCCTGTATTGTAGATTCAGTAATATCAGCAGTCTTCCGAGGATGGATTCCTAGTGGAATACAGGAGTTTGGTTCAAAGATGTGTAAACAGCAAATATAGAGGACCAGACAACATCCGTAAGAAGAATTTAAAACTGTTTAATAGTTGACGTGTTTCGGCATACCAGGTATGCCGTCCTTAGAACAGAGTAACTTTTCAAAATACAAGACTTATATACTATCTCTACCTAGCAACTACGTTATTTACAGTTGACATCATAGATGATACACGGGTTACACTGATGTAGTCTATTACTGACGTCATAATGTACAAATAAGAGGCTAGTGTAAAAAATCATTGTGATACAGCAGGAAGCCACATAACCAGAAAAAAACATCTGCATAACAGCAATGTTTGGCATTGTTTTTATTCTTAAGATATTGTAAAATTTCAAATTAAACACTCATCATTTTCAAAGTGAATCTAAAATGGATGATGAATGAAAGCTTCTCGGCCTTTGGTGTCACAGTAAATATTTTCCCTGAAGTTGAGAGAGTATAATATATGTGTGTGCATTCTATGAGATCAGACATTTGTTTAAATTAAGATATTAAGTCCCAACCGAGAGCAAATCATTTTCCTTCTGTTCTTTTTCCCCAAAAGGTATTATTTCACTGAAACAGATTTAAGGAAATATAATGAGAATGCCTTTTATATGTATATGTACACCAAGATACACATAGTGTGTAGTAGTCACAAATCTCTGCCCATTGAGAACAACTTCAGGTCAACATTAAACATTGTTTAAAGATTTACACCTGCATATTAATTATTAATCATACATATTACTTTTAACATACAAATAAATTTCAGTTATTCATATTAAAACAGTCATACTATTCACAAGTCCTATCAATAGCATACACCTTCCAAGCCTTTTGGAACTGTTCAGTTCAAACAGACATACATTTCTTTTGTTCGATTCAAACACCCTGAAATTCTGTTATTCACCTTACTGGGGAATAAGAAACAATGAAAATTAAACGAAGATTAACAAAAAATAAGGAATATGGGTATCAAATGTCACTCAATGATAGATGCAAACACAGCATATATATAACTATAATCAGTCTGCTTTTTGCTGTTTTTTCTTAATAGCTGCCTCTCGTTTTGCCTTCTTTTTCTTTTCCTTTTCTTTTGCTTCAATCTCCTGTGCCAGTTTCCATGCCAGAATTGCACTGATGAAGAAGAACGGAGACAAACAAAGAAGAATTGTGAACACAAACTCCCAAGGACTAGTTGCTGCCCACTTTAAGATGTACTCTAACCATTCTCTCCAGTCGAACATGGTTATAGTCTGTCAGGTGTATTTACAAGAAAATTAATAGAGCTCTTTCGTGATGTATGTGGAATTTCTTGACAAGAATCTCTCTGTACAGTGTCTGCAACAAAAGACAGTAAGAAAAGATTAGTGGTGCAGGTTTGGATATAGTATATCATGTACACGTATTATCCATTTAAGTGATTCAGAACTTAATTCATTGATTATCAGTATTTAGCTTGCTAATGAAAAATAGTATATACATGTATATATATATATATATTGTTTGGACATTGGTTCCAAACCATTCACCATAAAGTATTAAGAGTATATCTTTCATTAGCAAATTTGTGTACTTTCTCTTAAAATCCTTTTTTACATGTCAAACATCCTCTTGGTTATGATAAAATAACCAATCAATCCATCTTCAGATACCATGATTTGTTGTTGTCTGTCAGGTGAATACAAATCAACCATGAACAATAGGTCACACTTTCTTGAATTCCAAACATGCATGACTTATATTGGAAAAATGCTGATTTTAAAATTATCTCTTTTGATGACTCATTTATGATTTTAATAGATTAGGGAGTTGTAGAACAAGAAACGAAATATTAACTTTATTTAAATAGTTTGTGTTACGAAAAAGAAGTTTACCAATCAGAAATATGGCTCATTTGAGAAAAAGGACCAAATCATAAAAACTAAGTCCAACCCTTTAGAAAAAGTTCACACATAACACTGATATCCTCCATAAGCATTTTTGCACCATTATTTTATTTTGAGTTTTCTTTCATGAAAATGTCATTACTATTCACATGATGATTTTTTTGTAAAATTTGCACACTTTTTGGCCACTATTTGGCTACTTTATGAGCTTCTCTGTGATTCAGTGATGTCAACAGAAATGGAAGTGTCAACAATATTCCGATACGCATGTCTGTCCTTTCAGGTGAGCGAATTTAAGGTGGTATTTGTGGATATCTTTCAGAAAAATACTGGAGTTCTACTGATCTGTGATCACTTTAATGAATTAATTTCATTGTATGAACACGTTTCAATTCATCTGTGTATAGGTCTGGTTGCAAATCATCAACGTAACATTGCTACCAAGATAGGATTAATAAGGGGCCTTATACTTACGCGCTAAGGATATATATACGTTTTTTATAGGCGTGCCAATGTATACAGGTATTGCAATTTATTTTTAGCAACATTCCACAACTAAGTAGGCCTAGTGAAGAGTAGTCCTTCTGCACACTCCATCAATGTTCGCAGTTCAACATGGCGAGTAACTTTTGACAAGCGTCGCAGATTTATCGAAGCAAATAAGCGAACTAGGACCCCATATACGTATATATATTTATATATATTTAAGATATACCCCACTACTGTGACGTGTCCATTGAGAGAGTAAATGTTCAGCGATTTCTCTCACCTTAATAACTGTCTCGAACACTTTACTTAAACAGATCACTATGTGTTATTCATAACTAAGTCATTTTAAGAGCGATACTTACCATCGATATGTCAAATTACATTCCTTTCACATTTGTTATGATAGACCGGCGATCTCAAACGGAAGTAAATAATTGTCAAGTTCGATTACTCTGATATTGGACTGCTCCCAGAGTTATTTCCCTTCGTTTCATACTACCTATATATCCTTGACGCATTAGTTTCGGACCCTTAAGAATCATTTATCGATATATATATATATATATGAAATGAAATGAAATGAGTTCATACTGTAAGTTTTATTCCTTTAAAAAATTTGATCGGTTAAACAATAGCCTTTATATACATATATTCACAGATACGACCTCAAATTCGCTCCCGTGGAATGACCGACATGTGTATCGGGCATGTGGCTGTACCCGAGTCTCTGTTGACATCACCAAATCATAGAGACAATTGAGCTAGTTTACAGTGACCCAGAAATAAACATGTATTACATGAAATCATAACCTAAACAGTAATGCCATTTCGATTGCAAAGCAGTTTAGATAAAATGATGGTGTAAAAATCGGTGGATATTTTTGTTGATATGTGCTAAAGGGTTTGATTCAAAATTTTATTGTTTGTTTGGTTCATAATTTTTAACAATAAAAGACGTGCAAGTCTTGACTTCCATAGCCAAAAATTTGAAAGGATATGTGGGCTGTTATTCATGGTTGATTTTTGTTCACATTACAGACAAAAAAAAACCATTAATAACCGTTAATTTATCATAACTGGGAGGATGCCAGACACATCACTTTGAGTATTAAGACCGTAAAGTACACAAAATTGTCAATGGAATACATACCCATAATATACCTACGGTGCGTGTATCTCGATACAGTATTTCAGTCTCTTTTTTTATGTGCATGACATGTTACAGCAACCAAACTCATCCAGGTATGAGGTTACGTAGGTAGTCAACAAAGTGACCGGTCCGAAATACATAACATTCTGGAACCGATATCGAAGCAATATATCTAAATAAAGCATTATGAAGGATCCAAACCTACCTGTGCCATCTAAATTGCGAAGAAATTATTGAAGAGGCAACAAACTGATCAACAGAAAAATTTTGAGACAGATAGAGGATATCTTGACCTGCACAGTACAGTCAATCTTTACCATAGAACTAAGACAAGCTGAAAACAATACTTGGACAATCTTTATTGAAGGTGTACATTTGTCTCGCAAAAGCTCATGAAATTGACCTAATTGAGGAAAGAAACCTCCTCCCCGTACTAAGTTTCTTAACGAAATCGATAATCATCAACCTCGAGATTTCAATAAATCACAGCCTTTCTCAAATCACGAAATGAAAATGAAAAATACCCTAACAGTTTGTACGGTTTTGTAGGACACTTAAAATATTTGCATTGCATCGATAATCATACTGACCAATCTAGATCTATTAGCGACAACGTGGCATTTTCTAAAACTCAGTGGCGTCTTCTCTTAACCATAGTGATATCAGGAACATATCGTAACCATACATAAACAAATCGATCCAACGGCTAATATGAGTTGTAAAATTTTAATTCCACTGCGAATAGCAGACTGATGAAATTCATTTCAGATAAAATGTGCAACCCACAATTTGGAATTCCTAGAGGGAATGGAATATTTTATACAAGACTGATTTTTCTCAACATTTTCATTTTTTCTTTTTGATAACAAGGAAATCCTATATATTTTGTTGCAGTTATGTAAATCATCTCACTGACCTTGTAAATGGCCAGGTGCTTATTAAATCTAAGGCCTCGCAACTTAAACCTGAACTTGCCCCGAGTTTACATTAACATTGAATTGCTAACTAAGGATTTGTTTTAGCAAAACAAAAACACATGTCTCATCTTATTCGCAACTCTGTCAAAGGATATAAAGCGATACCGCAACTTGAATTAAGATATCTTTCTGGGTTAAAAATGTTACCACCGAGACAAGACATTATTTTGAAAATCGTATTAGTTGGATAACTGAACTTATAACTTCGAAATTTGGTACACGAATTAGAATAAAAAATCTTATTGAGACCAAGATCATACTAATGAAATGGTAAAGCTTATGACCACTTATTTTGCATAGACGAATCTCTCTTCGAACGAATACCTTTAAAGTTTTGTAAACACAATTTGGTAGAAAACCAGTTAACTATTATTATTTCTTTTATTTCCTCCAAGTGTGAAGAGGTGTACAAAAAGAACATACATTGACATTACAGAAAGTAATAGTGCGTTTGTACACAAATATACACATAAGAAGCATTTAAATTAATACAAAGTAAACAGTATACACAGAGTTTACGTACGTATATTGTATACATACAACAACTCCGATAGTTAAGAATATAAACGCGCGAAGTAAGCGTTTTCCATATGGAACGATATAATATAAAGAAAAGTTATATAGTAAACACATATAAATACAAGAATCATTTCAATTACATACAAAGTGAACAATAGACACAGAGTTTACGTGCGTATATTGTATACATACACCAACTCCTAAAGTAAAGAAAATAAACGCAAGAAGTACAATATCAAGATATTTATATATAATATTGTATGAAGTAATGCAAAAGAAAAAAAATCTTAATTTTCTTCTTAAAAAAACCATTTCGGGTATTTTTCCCCAGTTAAATCCAATAAATGTGCATATTACAACCATAGGATTTAAGACGTGAATATTTCATATTGAAGTCAAAATGACCAAACATTACAATTATATAGCATGATAATGTTGTTGGATTCTGATGATGAAAATTATTGAGGTAAACTACAAATTCTATATCTTTCACTGTCGTAAACTCTCCGTGTGAGAGCATTCAAGCACGCTATGAATAATGACATCTTTATACATGAGGCCACAGTAGTGACACAAGTGAGCATTTTCATTTTCACTCATTTCAACGCTTAGTTTAACAATTCGTTTGATATAAAAACCATGTTGTGGAAAACGTAGAGCAAGTTTCCAAACCGGGTAAGGATGTATACTATTATGTAAGAGAATAAATCGAGAAAAATCACGATCTACGTACATTCTTTTAAATAATCTAGTTTCTTCATATTTTCAAAGGATATAAAGCGATACCGCAACTTGAACCTGAACTTGCCCCGAGTTTACATTAACATTGAATTGCTAACTAAGGATTTGTTTTAGCAAAACAAAAACACATGTCTCATCTTATTCGCAACTCTGTCAAAGGATATAAAGCGATACCGCAACTTGAATTAAGATATCTTTCTGGGTTAAAAATGTTACCACCGAGACAAGACATTATTTTGAAAATCGTATTAGTTGAATAACTGAACTTATAACTTCGAAATTTGGTACACGAATTAGAATAAAAAATCTTATTGAGATCAAGATCATACTAATGAAATGGTAAAGCTTATGACTAGTTATTTTGCATAGACGAATCTCTCTTCGAACGAATACCTTAAAAGTTTTGTAAACACAATTTGGTAGAAAACCAGTTAACCATATACTCCGAGAAGAACTAGATTAACTCCAAATCGGTGTTTGTTTAAACCAAGGGTACGAAAAACTGATATCGACAGTCGATATGCTCATCCTAAATTATTGCATCAGAATTATTCAATTTTTCGGACTTAGAATTATGTCCCATATTTCTAATCGTAACGCGACAAAAAGAATAAATCCTGAATACTTATTATTATTGTAGACAAGCTGAAGTCTCTAAACGAAATCTGAAATACTAGTTATGTCGTTTTTCATACCTGACTTTTTTTATTTATGAAACAGCCATTAGAGCTGAGGAAGAAAGTCATTGATCCAGTTTGTTTTAGTGCTATATGGTTGAATATTTGAACACACATCTACACATCATTGTCTCACTTCTATGTTGTTCATATTTAAGCATCAAACTACGTTAAGCGTCAGAAACCATGCGAACTTTCCAACCTGAAACAAACTCTTCATCTTAGTTTTATTCTTTTCATCTTCCACTGTCTTCTTCTTTCTTCTTCTTTTTTATCGTCGTGTCCTAGAAATTATTTGCAAATCACCAAATATAAAAATAAATCTCTCTTCAGCACAACATGACTAATATATATACATAATACTATATTATGATACTAATTACTTATTGATGAAGAAACCTTTATATGCTAACGGAAAAAAAGAAACTATGGAAGCTTAAAAATTTGAAGAAAAAAATAAGCAGAATATTTATTCTCATCTATATTTTAAAAAAATATACTTTGAAGTAAATTTTTGCTTTCATCACTGGTCAGCAAACTAGGTATCGCATATTAAGAGAACAATCCGAAGTTGTAAAGTTGATGGGTAGCAGTCTATATACTTAATAAGATTGTTTTTTTTTTTGAGAGAGAGAATTTTGTCAAGCATGCAACGTATGGGTAAGATTGAACGTTTGTGCGTTATCAGCATACTAAAGACTAGGATATCTCAGAATAAAGTGACAAGGCAGTTTGGGGTTCACATACGATAAATGATACGATAGATGCTTTTTAAGGAGACGTTACAGTGACTGTTTAATTAAGCGCATGAAAGGACCACCTTTAATATAGTGGAAGGCAACTTGACCTGTGTCGATGTATAGAATTATACGCCATTACTTTTTTTCTATTTATCCGTAATATCAACCGTACCATCATCATTTGCAGCAGGACAACACATATATGTATGTTGTATTGATAAATGCGAATGGTTGATTAACACGGTACTGAACTTGTGTAACTGGAAATGCATGCCTTTAGTTACTGTGGCTATAGATTTTAATGCCGATTGACAGATTGTCAAATTCATCGAGTCGTTATGAAAATAATGCATCGTGAATGAATATTTGGTGAAAAATGTGAAATACTATTATACGTATAAATTTCACAGTCGAAATACACAGTTTTTTGTATTACTATATAGCAACAACTAAAACCATGACGACAACCCAACTTTAATGCATCACACTTGTATTACGAAAATAGACCGCAAGCAACGTGTTTTAGATCTGGTTCTCATTTGTGAACGTGACATTACTTACTTTCTTTGTCTGACAAAGAATTACATAGAGGTTCGATGACAAACGGCCCTATTCCCCTTACGCGTATAATTTGAATCCTACTTCACCAGAGAGAGTTTTTTCTAACTTATTTTTTATGACATAAATTGGTGAAATTAATTTCCTACCGCTAAAAGTTAACTGTGAATTAATCAATAAAAACAAATGAACAAACAAACTATGATACCTTTCTGTGAAAGCGAATTTTGTGACAAGGCTGCAAGACGTGTCTCCTGAAATGAAAACAGTCATTTGTAGAATTGTTACTTAAGCAGTAATTTTTTACATATTTTATGTTATTGTTTTAACAGTAAAATTCATCAAACAGAATAAATATAGATGTTAGAAAAAAAGTCTACATATTACGGCATTTATTTGAACCAAGTTTAATGATTTGTTTACCTCAAAGCTCTGCGATAAATTAATAGAATCTATTTGCAACTGTGACGACAGTAGCAGGTCAGGAGATTCATCCATAGCGTCTGTAGCTAAAACATACAGATCTTTAAGGTATAGATAAACATATAAAATAAATTATTTGGATGATAAAACACCATATATATGTATTGTCTCTATACGTAGCAGATTGATAGCGCATTCTTTACAAAAATCGACATGAAACTTTCATTATTTTTACATAAACATCATATCTGCAGGAAAATAAATATCAACACAAACATATTTTATTTCTCCAATTGCTGCAGTGTAGCGATGTTTCGTTTTGTTCACTGCATTGTGTGAAAAAGGTGTATCAAAGTATGACTTTGTTGACCAGATTTTGAATTGATCGAACAGTGCTCCTTACTTATAGCTCGGTGGATTAGATAGAGACATACTCGATCATTTTACAAACGAATTCAATTCCCCTCAGCATCATTCAATCTCAAATCTCACGGTATGTTTTACAAGGTATTTAGTTTCAATACATCAATGTCTTTACGTGGTGTTAAGTTGGTATTATAATGGATCATATCCATCTAACTTTACGACAGACATGATAAGATTTCTTGATTTAAGAAATGGCGACATATAAAACCTACCTGTAATGATGAAAATATGACAAGGTATCCCATGCGTGGTTTCATATGTAACACAGCCAGTCATTGTGCGGTATTGGGGAGTGACCTTCATAAGATACCTGCTGCTTGTCTCCAAGTTACAGGTCCCTCGTCCATTTACTACAAGACCACCAGGATTCACCATGACCTTCCACAAATGCGATTTGCTTGAACAGCCTTCTTTGATTTCTATGGAGTACTTGAATATTGCCAACTCGAGAGTAGTGTCGGGTGTTTGCCATAAGTCATGTGTTGTAATTGGCATCCGCACAGCATTTTCAGGTACAAATAACACCTTTTGGTGTGGACGTATGGCTAAGCTTCCTCCTGATGATGACAGACACATTTTCACAAAGACTAGACTCACTTTATACACGAAAAAGTCATTTATCTTTTATTGCGATAATAATTCATTCTTACTATCATGTATACAAATGTCCCTTTGTCGTTATTAGACAAGACATCACACAGGGATCTTGGCGCCCACCATTGTTTTATCCTTACTGGTCTTCAAAGGTTGAACTTTTTTCCTTTTTTCTTTGTTGTTGCTATTCATTTCATGATATTTGAAAATTCCTTCAAAAATAATTATGATATTTATGTTTGCATGTCGGTCACTTTTTCTAGTCAGTCCCAAAATTAAAAGGACACAACTATGGACCAAGGGGAACCTATAAATAGAATCTGAGAAAAATCCATCAAGAAATGGAAATAAGTTTAAATCCAAGATGGCCTTCAATCCACTGATCAGTCATAAAATCACAAGGACACAAATAGGGACCATGGGGTACCTATATTTTCAATCAGAGAAAATTATATCCTGTGCTTTTCAAGAAATAGCAATACAACCTTTCATAGTAAAAATCAAAGATAGTCGCCTTTCAGCCATTTTGCTTTTCAGACCAGTCTCAATAATGGACATTATATTATACTATCGTATAAGATAAACCGATATCTGAAGATTGAAATGACCCATTCAGTATAAAAAAGAAAACACCAACATGTCAACGTGATCAAAATCGAAATTCAAATTCAATAAAGCTAGGACAAAATACTGAACAAAAGAAAGATTTACACGGAGACTCCTAAACTACAAGGAGAATAAGACCAGGTATTCCGCAAGAATATACGTCTTCTGCTTCGTCGACGACACCTGCCATGTAAACCTTGGTCAATCCAATAATTAATGTCACGTTCTCAAATGAGAACAAGTTATACAACGTAACCATCAGACAAACAAATCAACGAGTACCAAACAAGTCTAGCCTCATATCGCACGAAGAAACAGAAAATCTCTCAATGAGATCACCATGACGACCGCATCTGTTTCATTCGAATACCATACCATATATTCAATACTTTCATTCTATTTATAGCACAATAAACATGACAGTTTGAATAATACAATCAACCAAATAGAAGAATTAAGCCTTCTATTCTATCCTAACTACCTCAGTATAAAATGAAAAAAAATACTGGACTGTTAGAATTATACATAATTTTGTATAATATGTTTACTTACTAAGTGATTGTCTCAGTTGTTGTAAATGCATTGTCACTTGAAACAGGCTGAGATAGGTCGATGAAGGCCTAAAGGCTGCTAAATTAACAGTCGGGGTGGCTTCAGTTTCCAGTTGAAAGCTTGATAATCTATTTAAAAAGTTATAGATAGTAAAGGTAAAAGCAACGGAGTGATCACATTCAGTGTTTGATAAAAATATAAAAATATTAATAAACAGAAACTGTTTAAACAAAATCGGACACAAGGTCAATATCAGAAAAAAAAGAAAAATACATCAAACAATATCGGTCAAATAACCTAAAACACACAAAAAAATATGTATATTCTCAATATAGAAACGATAACAGATTTAAAATAAAAAACATAGAGAGAAAAAAGACTAGAATATTATGCAAAATACCATAGTTATCGAAAACGCACTAAATGAAATGTTGTACTTACTTTTCCTGTATGTCATTCACTGTCTGAAAATGTCGAAAAATAAAAAATAAAAAAATTTCTACAATAAGCAAACGAATGTATCATAACTTTAAGATTTACTCAAATTCCTATATAGGCTTGACAGAGGAAGAGCTATTTCTCGCAAAGCTTTTAGTGCTATAAAGGCATCTATAACCCACAAACCGTTGACAATTACGAAATTAAAAACGTAGTCGACAACTTATTGATGTTTAAGGGAACCGACGTCATCTTGAAAAAACCAAATATAAAGCATAACCTTTCCAAACACCACCAAATTTTTAGACGATAAAAAAATAGACGATGTTAGCAAAATATCCAACATGAATTGTCACTCATGTTAGTTGTCATATCACTCACGTTAGTTGTTATAGCACTCTCTTTAGTTATCATGTCATTCACGTTAGTTGCCATATCACTCATGTTAGTTGTTATATCACTCATGGTAATTGTTATATCATTCACGTTAGTTGTTATAGCAATCTCTTTAGTTATCATATCACTCATGTTAGTTGTTATATCACTCATGTTAGTTGTTATATCACTCATGTTAGTTGTTATACCACTCATGTTAGTTGTTATACCACTCATGGTAATTGTTATATCATTCACGTTAGTTGTTATACCACTCTCTTTAGTTATCATATCACTCATGTTAGTTGTTATACCACTCATGGTAATTGTTATATCATTCACGTTAGTTGTTATAGCAATCTCTTTAGTTATCATATCACTCATGTTAGTTGCCATATCACTCATGTTAGTTGTTATACCACTCATGGTAATTGTTATATCATTCACGTTAGTTGTTATAGCACTCTCTTTAGTTATCATATCACTCATGTCAGTTGTTATATCACTCATGTAAGTTGCCACATCACTCACGTTAGTTGCCATATCACTCATGTTAGTTGCCATATCACTCATGGTAATTGTTATATCCTTCACGTTAGTTGCCATATCACTCATGTTAGTTGCCATATCACTCGTGTTAGTTGCCATATCACTCGTGTATACTGATTTGTTAATTTGATGCTTGTTTAAACCTACGATACTAGTAACAACCTTTATAAGACAAAGAGAGCACCAGAATCAGGAATCGAGCATACTTAATTTTGGTGTGAAGTACTAGTAACTTAGTAACACTGTCCACTACACAACGTTATTGTCTTGTACCCGACGCTTCTTACGTCAATCTGATAACCAGGCTACATTTGCTCAAAGCTTGTTGAGAGTTGATCAGTGGTTTGTGGGAAATTAAAATTGTTGCCATTGAAAAAAACAAGTACTTTCAAAGCAAGACTAACACTGAAAATACATCAACGAGACCTCCTACAACAAGAATACGACCATGAAATGAGAAAGAATTGTTCAAATTGTGTTAAATTCGTGTTTTAAAATTTTCACTAAACCAGTGGTTAGCTCTAACCAACTGGAGCAAGTTCAACACCACACAAGAATAATGTTATCCCTTGAGGTCGACAACAAGCCATAGCATCGCACCAAAATAAATTTTGTTTCTGCAAAATGTTTAGTTAACACAATAATCTACTCTGATTTAGAAGTGCCGTGATCTACTTATCATATTTATTTATGTAATGAAGCATGTTTACTGATTAGAAATTGAAAAATGGAAAATGTGTACCTCGAGGAATTGTGATTTTGTAGTTCCGTTCACGCTGTCTAGTGACATCTGGGTTAGTCTCGCTTCTGTGTCCACTACTTCTCCGTATTTACGCCTCATTGAATTAATATGTTGTATTCTCAATTCGAAATCCTAAAATGAAGCAAAGCTGTATAATCTTTTAGGATAATTATAATATGAGGTGTTACTTTGATTATTTCACACATATGTCCTTTACTTTATTACGTACTTAACCTCCTGTTCATACTAAATATATCTGTAAACCATACGTTCAGGCTTGCCCAAACACTTACCTACTAGTCATGCTTATCCATTGTTAGACCATACTTTCAGTCTGCCTAGACACTTAACCTTCCCGTCTTGCCTAGACACTTACCTTTTTTTAATCTAATTCATTGGTAGACCAAACTTTCAGTCTTGCCCGAACGTACCTTCTGTCCATCTTTAATCATCATGTTTTCTGTTTCCCCAATTACGTGTCTTAGTTTTGCGAATTCTTGTCGTATGTGTTGCTTCTTTTGTATCCATTGCAGCTATTAGGATTAAAAAGAATATACAATCTTATGAAACATTCCATTGCAAATAACTGCCTCCGTGTGTAAACGTTATTTAGCCATATTCATCGTTTCAATAGTAGTTAATGCATTTGAGTTACTCTGGTGATAATGGTATTTGTGAAATAAATTCATTAGAGATTCCTGCTAAGAGTTAAAGGATATTGCAGTAGACAAAGAAATCTAGTATTTATATATATAATGAAATATCAGTACTACTTATATTTAGTAAGCAATATAAGTATTTCTTACTAGATTCTATTTATAACAAAATATAATCTATACATATGTATATATAAGAAAAATTCCGCAGGATTATCGATACCTACTCTAACCGTTTCCTCGACCTCTCGCAGCGTATTCAGATTGACGTGAGCTTTGTCCAGACATCTCGACCCAACTTGTCTCTGTAAGTCTAGCAGCTGTTTCTGAAGACATATCTTATATATATTACAAAGACATTCCAATATCATTCATACAGAATTTGTATGTCTGAATATCGTGGTATATTTCAACATTTGTTAACTCGATTTCCTTCTCAAATGAGAATAACCTTATATATATACAATGTGCCATTTTACGTACTGCTGGTAGTGACAATATAAATAAATAAATAAATTGAGAAAGAAAATCATAACTCACACAACAAATACATTTAAAACTACACACAATCTCTGGTCGTCTTTCTGTCTGGAGACAATAAGTCAGATGAACTGGACTGTATACAGCAACGCTATTTTGATCATTAGAAAAATTAAAACAAGACGAAGAAAAAGATTCCTACTTTTTCATTTTTGATGTAAATATCCAAATTTTCCACGTCGTGCGAGGCGTGGCTGGAACAGGCTAAACTCACTGCACATATTGGCTGATCACAAGTACTACAGTACCAGGACAATGATTCATCGTGAATTTTACAATATAATGCAGTATGTCCACTCAAGATAGTGTGGTTCCTATAACGTGTCTGAGGGGGATGTAGAGCGTAGATGCATTCCGAACAGCAATTTATAAGGCATTCTTCACAAGAATAGCGTGCTACATTTTTGTGTTCGCAATACGTACAAAAGGCGAACGAGGTCTGTTCACAACGCTGTATCTTGGTCATGTAAGATTGTCTTAATGTTGTGTTCAATTTTGTAGTTTTTGTATGACATGACGATAGATTTGTGACTGTACTGCCAGCTTTCAAACGAAGGTCTTCTTTAGAACCGGTTCCTTTGATTCTTGGTAGTAGAGAAGTAGGTCTCCCACTCCCAAGAGATACTCCCACGACATGCGTTCTAACCTTCTGATTCAGAGTTCTCCCTGTTCTATTGGTACGATATGTCGGTGAGCAATCGTCGGTTTCTACATCCACGATTTCCGCAGTAGCACCTTTACTTCCTACTTCGGTAAATTTTTGAGAAATCTGAGAAGTATATTCTTGTATATTCACTCTTCGTTCCTTCTCCTCCTCATTGATTAATGTTGTGGTATCGCCCTTTGTTACAATCGAATTTATGTCCTCCAAATGGCTTCCATGTACTTGATTTTCGGGATTTCCGTCAGAATGATATTCAGAGTAATCCTTTAAGCAGTGATCGGCGCATTCTTTGGAGTTATCGTCAGCATTCTTGTTTCCTATATGTGATGATTTCTCATTTTGTAGCGATTCCGAAGCATTATTTCGGTTTAGAAATATAGCAGTAGCGGGACATTCCTCTCTCTCGTTGGTATTCAGACCTGTTGCGTTGACGGGGCCTTCCTCTTCCACACTGTTGTTTGGCTTCGTTTTACTCCCGGAAACTTCATCAACACTGTTCTTCAAATTTGTGTTCATACCTTCGTCGTCGTCTTCGTCGCTCTTGCTGTCGTCTCCATCCGTACTGTTATTCAGAACATCTGTCCTTTCGTCCTCATCCGTACTATTGTTCAGACCTATTGTCCTACCGTCCTTAACCGCAATGTTGTTTAGACCCGTTGTCCTATCGTTCTCACCCATACTTTTGTTCACATCCGTTACTTTGTCGTCCTCCTCCATACTGTTTTTCTGTTGTTCGTTTGGTGTTCCCTCAGGGTGATCACATTTAGATCTATCTTCAGTATCACAGATTGGTTGGTCTAGGACCACATGCCTATTGGCCATTCGTATTATTTCCCTTCCATTTACTCTTTCACCAACCGTGCCCTGGATAAATACATATTTGGGTTTGAAATTGTGCATGTTAATTTTACGAAAGATGTTTAGTGTTTACCAAAGATTCGACTTAAATGTGACCATCAATAAAAGGGGAAAATTAATTTTCTGTTTGGGTGAATTTGGATAGGTAATTTCTATATCCAATGGCTAATTATCAGAAACTTTAGCTTGGATACATGTCGTATGTGTGGGTCTTTTTTGGGGGGTGGGGGTTACAGATAATTAGTTGCTAATTTAAGAAATATGCACGAAATTGACACACAGCGCACACATGTACCAACTTTAAGGCAGCTGAACCTAATCTAGTGTTATCAGATGTAACTTTAATCCTATCCTCAAAAACACGTATGCGTTCCCTGAAATCTAAAAACTGAAAAATCAAATTTGACCAAAAACGTAACGTATTTATGCAGTCCATCTTGAACTTACTTCCTCTTCTTTCTCTTTATACACTGTACCTTCCTAGTAAACTCGGTACGAGTGTTTTTTTAAATTATAATTTTATGTATATACTTTTTTTCAGGGATTTCTGGCCAAATATCGTCTTCTCTTTAACATTACCAAGCTTTATCCGTAACATTGAAAGCGAGATTCACTGCAAACACACCACTTTCAAGATGAATGTATTCTATATTAAGACACAGTTATCCCGAAAGCAGATTTACAATTCGTCATTGGTCCTGTGCTTTACATCGATCAAGACCAATAAGGCACACATTGAATGATAATAATAAATAAGGGTTCAAGTCCAGTTTCCGCGTGTTTTCATATTTAGATATCAATATCTGCTTACAGACAAATATGGCCAATATACTGGCTGATTTCTCGACTTATGTAGGGTATCAACTACTTACAATGTTGCTACATGTATTCTGTACCCAAAATTACATTCGTATGACCGTGTGACATCAACGTAAAGAATGTGTTTTATTGCGGATAGGAATTAATTACGTCATAAAATATTGTTGTTTGATTACTTATAATCCAGGTTACTTCATATAAAAAATATTTATACCAAATGGATATTTTACCAATACAGAAAAGTACAAATTATGTCTATTTAAACGGAAAGGATAATACGCGCAAATTTCTGTACTAGTCAGCAGTCTCACAGCAATTTAATCCAAGCTTTCGGCGATCAAGTTTTACGGAAATCACATCCGTATATAGATTTTTTTTTAGTTGGAGTGAAGCATTAAAACACTACCCTGCTGGGTGCCCTCAATTCGGATCTGACATTTATATCCGTGTACTGTATGCGTACTACATTTTAGCTGTGTATACTGTAAACATTATCTTGTCCATACACGATTTTTATAATTCGAGTGTCTGACATTCTGTCATGTGACCTTCATATCAAATTCAAATAAGTCATGAACTTTACTTTGTTAATACTACCATTTCCCTCAATCAAAACGTTAGCCGGAAGAGACAGGCGTGTTCTAACGAGGAACTGAGTCATTTAAGCTGTCATTTATTTATTTATCTTGTTTATCAATGATAAATTCGACATGAGCGCTTTATCACGTTTTCATGTAGAGAAAATGGTATATTTTTGTATTACATAGAGTAAGTAAAATCTAATGCATTTAAAAATGAAAAAGTAACACAATACATACCTTACCCTCTCCATAGTTACTAGTACGAAACACTGCGATACTTGGAAGTTTGCTACTTTCGGTTTGTCACAAATAATTACAAGGGAGATAAATCTGTCACACCTTGGATGATATTGTGCGTTGTCCTTCGTTTTAATGTGATTTTTTTAATCTGCCGTCATCCCATTTGGTTCCAACCAAGTATTTGTCATTGTTTATATATTTAGGGATGGCATGTTTACTGTTAGAAAAGTTTATACAACTGGTCCTTTACCGGTTTCTAGAAGAAGACAAAATCAATGTCATAATCCAGCCATTTCACTTAACATCAAATAACTGCAACAGAATTTCTTGATTTTGGAAGGTAGTTATCAGTATTATATATACCGAGAATAAATTATCACAAACGAAGACAAATTTGAGGACAAAAAATAAATGGCATTTGATAAGGATAAAAAAAATACGAAAAATCACATACGTCTGATCACATTAGAAGGGTAAGATATATCTCTTTTGCAATACTGAACACATAAAATTAGTTGGATAGCAAGACCAAATGAAATATTGTACAGATCGGCTAAAATGTTCCAGCAGAGATATTTTCATTGAACAAAAAATATGGCTTAAAAGCATTATGGACTTGACAATATCTGTTTTTGTTTTCTTGAAAATGCAGAGCATATTATTAAGTAACCTTAGTAACAATATGAGTTTATCTTCAATTTCTTAAAACAATACATTTTATCTAACACTGATACATGACAAATGGTACAGTTACCTTCAAAAATGTATTAACCATCTAATTTGGCCAATTGTGGTGATATTGTGTTATGTCTTGCCCACATTGAGTGATACAATCATTATGTAGTCATTTGTGTATGACTTGTGCAGCATTTATTGAAGATACTCGAGGGATTTTTAATTCACAAACTTCGTCTCATATAATATTACTTCCACGCCGAAAGTCTATGATTCTTTGTACAAGTTGTGTCCTATCTATAGATAATTGTTCTATGAAGACGATCATAAAACGTATGTTTTCAGTAAATCCTTTTTAATCTAAACAATCCCCAAACTTCATCATTTTCTTGAAAAGAACGTATCCTCCATTCTGTACTAACGAATGAAAGAAAAACTACGATTTATCTTAACCTTAACCATAACTCCCCATAATCTAGAGGACCATGTTATGGTGGAAATTCATGTTAAATGATTTTACAATAGAATAAAACACACCAAAAAACACATTCTTTATTTATTATTTGCAGATATCCTAATTCAATATTACATTTCTGCGGAGAATAACTTTTCTAAGCACTTTTCAGCAATTGCTGAAGCTGCTTCTGAAATCTTACTTGCGTAAAATTAAAATATCGTTCAATTCAGACTTTGAAAAAAAAAAACCATAAATTTGAATGTATGAAAGCACAACCTCTCATTTATGAACTTTTTAAGTACACATGTCATATTCAAATGTTTTTCCTCCAAGCCAATATCGATATTGATCTTAATTAAGGTAACATTCTGTTTTACACAATATAGCAAAAGCGATATTAATGGTGTGGCATTTTTTCAGTGTGATGATTCTAATTGATTTGTTTGGATAATTTGTTTTGTTTACTTATTAGTATTTGTACCTTAATCCGTGTTACACAAAAAGTTGATATGATATTTCATAGATGGCTCGGTAAGTAATTAATCTTATTTTGTTGCCCAGTCCCACTATGTATTTGATACTAATAAAGTGGTTAAAAAGAAAGAAAGAAAAATGTTCAGCAGCACATTTTGATACGAGTTTATTGTACATTTGAAGATACAATAAGCTAGACAATGCAGGTGCCCGCTATTTCGTCCTGCAAGGATGTCCTCTTTTATAACGAATCATTCTGCATTTCTTTGAATAATAACTATTATGAGTTACAAATATTAAGACAAGCAAGACATACGTAAATAAAAGGGTCATCGTGTTATGATCATTTCGTTTATCATAACTCATATGAAAGGTGAAATAAAAAAATATTTAATTATTTGTTTATTTATTTATCTATCTATTTATTCATTGTCTGGTGATTCCTGGATGTAAGTGACTAGCTGTAGAGCGTTTCTCCCTTACTCGTAAGACCCTGACTGTTGTAATAATGTTAAGAAATGAGAGATAAAGGAATGAGAAATGACCGAAAACTTAGCGTTTCGCGGCTTGCCAAGGGGAATAAATCTTCAAAGCTTCATTTTAGAATGAAACTGTCACCTTAGACAAAGTCTTCCTGAATGGATTACAGTGAAATTTTGTAGTAACTTTCCATGTACAAATGTAAACCAAAATTTCGCGAATTATATGATCTCCAATCCCAAGGGGCCCTAAAGAAATCAATCTACCTCGAATTTCTAAAATCTTCTCAATTGTCATTTTAAAGGTACTTCTACTTCAGTCTAGTTATTTCACATTTCCCCCTGGGGAGGAGATTTAGTTTGCTATAGTTTATAAACGAAAATCACATTTATTTTTGAGGATAATTTGCTTCATTTCCAATTGGATTATTTCAAACTTGAACAAAATAATATAAGTATGGAATGACCAAACTGACTGCTACTGACCCACAAGAACTAATGGGCGAGGCCAAAATCAAAACACTTCTTCTGAAGATCCAGACATAGTAGAAAACAACACTCTTCATTGATGGGATGGTTTTAAGTGCTTTATTACAGTTAGGAATTTGATGACCGATTCACATCCTCGCATTCCCCAGTAGAGGGGCTTCAGTTAACTTCAGTTTGTATAGGAAAACTAGTTTGTTTAGCATAATTTCTTTTAATTCAATCTTGGTTAGAATCCTTATCACGGGATGTCAGTAAATATTCCTTTTACATCGGCATTAGACGTACAACGTAGTTCAAGTTATCCTACTTTGTTAAGATGATTAAGATGAAATATGTTACAAGAACAACAGCAGCAAATATAGAACTCAGTAGACCGTTAACAACCTTGAACCTCTTGTTTTGATTATCGCGTCTTGTATATTAAATTATATTTATTACAACTACTTCTTCTCCAAACGAACAGTTTGGTGTATTCTTGATTGTAACCTGCTGCCCTATCCCTTCTTTTCTTTGTATACCTTTCTTCTGTGATTCTGCACCTATCATATATGAATGTTACATCCGTCACCCTTATGACCCTGTAAGTAACATCCGTCAACCATGTGACCCTGTTAGTAACACCCGTCACCATACGGCCTTGATTGTTACATCCGTCACCATAGGACCTGATTGTTACATCCGTTACTATGGGACATGATTGTTACATCCGTCACTATGGGACATGATTGTTACATCCGTTACTATGGGACA